ATTACTATTATTATTATTATTATTATTATTATTATTACTTATTATTATTATTTTATTATTATTATTATTATTATTATTATTATTATTATTATTATTATTATTATTATTATTATTATTATTATTATTATTATTATTATTATTATTATTATTGTTGTCATTATTATTATTATTTTTATTATTATCACTATTATTATTATTATTATTATTGTTATTATTATTATTATCACCATTATTATTTTTACTTCAAAATGCGCATACATGTAAAACTATTATTTTTAATGAAATTTTTAAATTTGAAATTTCAAAATAGATATTCATTCTACGAATATAATTTCAATACTTTTTCTTTCCTTCGAGGATTTTTCTCCTTTTTTCTCTACTTTCTAATTTTCAATCATTGAAAAAATTTATTTACTTTACGTTACTGTATATATTTAAATTTTCCCTCTCAAAAAAATCTAAAATCTCTTTTTTTCTTTTTAAATCTTTTAAAATCTCTTTTTTCTCTCCTTTTTTTGAATTATCTAATTTTTCTATTAATGCATCAAAAGTTTTGAAATGAAAAATCTTTCCTAAATTTAATTAAGTATAACAATTTTAGAATTTGCATCAATAGTATATATGTGTCACCGATACAAATGCACACACTTTTTTTTTTTTGAAAAAGTTTTAGAATTATACAATTTTACACAAAATTTACTCATATTTTTTTTTATTTTCAATTTTTAATTACTGGTTAGTTCTGATGAAAAGAATTGAATATTTTTGCGCATTTCGCATTTCAATTCTTTTCATCAAAGCTAATTATCTTTCTAAAATATCAGCCAATAATTGAGTTTATTTGTTTGGAGAAAAGAGAAAAAAAGAAAAGTAAAAATGAACAAAACGAAAAAAATAGAAATTGAAGGAAAATTTGATGTGATATGAAATATTAAACAAAAAATAATTTGCACAAAAAGAATGAAAGGCAAAGACATTTGAATATTTCTCGAAGTTAATTTGATACATAAAACTTTTGCTTATCTTATATATCGGATATAAGAGATAAGATTTACATGCCTGTTGTTAATGATAAGTTGTAATGATGACAATAAGCATTGAAATTGCAAAAAAAAAAAAGAAATCAATATTAAAACGCTAACTTAAAATATATTTTAAATTACAATTTTAAAGAAAGGAAAAAAATAAAAAAACAAGAAAAGATAGAAAAGATAATACATGTTTGTATACTAACTTATTGCTTTTTTTTCATAAAATTATGCATAAAAAAATGAAGTAATTAAAAAAAGATAAAAATAAATAATCGATATGGATTTCATTCATAATTACTTGCTAATTTTAATGTATTTGAAATTAGTAAAAGTAAAATTGTAATTTTTTTTTCGAATTATTATATTTTCTTTTTAAATGTTTGCAAAACTTTGCAATTTTTTTCGATAAAATTTGATAATTAAATAAATAAAAACTGCAAAAAAAAGAAAGAAGAAATGAAATTACTGAAAAAGTATAAAAAATTATTTTATTTCTAATTATTTCAATAAATTATTTTATTTTTGTTATCTATGCAATAATTGACTAAAATTAGGCTTTGTTTGATTAATTTTAAATTAAAATGAATTTGAAAGAGAAGGAGTGAAATGATAAATTTTGATTACAAAATGAATAAAATAAGAGGAAGAAAGAGTGAATAAATGAATTCTTCTTTCTTTCCTAATTAACTTTTCTTAACCAAATTAGAAGGATGAAAATGAAAATACGATAGAAGTATTATTTGAATATTTTAGGTTATATTAATTAATTTATTACATTAGTATTTGAGTAGTGAATTAAATTAAACATTTTAATTTTGCGAAAGAAAGGAAATAACAAAATTAATGAAAATGTAAAATATCTATTTGTATATCTAAATTTCATTTATACTTTTTCAATAGTTTCCAGAATACAAATACTCTTATCAGATATTTTCAATCAATATAATCATTCCCGAGAGACATAATGACAATAATTAAGGGAGAAAAAGAAGAGAGAGAGAAAGAAAGAGAATGGATTGTATTGATTGTTGTCACAAATGGATAAATCATAAGGAACCAAATGTTTGACAAATTTATTATATGTTTATGGTTGGTTAACTTTAACTTTTTTCCATCAATACATTAGAAAAAGAATACATACAATGAATGTAATTAATTAATTGAAAAGAAAAAAAAAAGAATTTCGACAAATATTGAATAATGAATAATCGATTAATTAGTAAATAATTATTTAATATTTAATAGAATGATTCAATATTTGATAGAAATTGGATATTGG